TAGATATAGCGATATCTTTGTAAAGTACGGTGAGTAATAAATTTGTGCTCAAAATGGGTAATCATTTGCTTAAATGTTTTCTTATTAGATATAGATATATAGAATTTGTAGTTATACAAATAAAAGTAATTTCAATTCACAAGATATTTATTGCATAAGATAAATAAAGGTATTGTGAATTGCGCATATAGAATTTATTAAAAATTTACAATCACTTTGACATCAAAACAACAACTGATACAAGCAAGCAGTCACAATTCCGCCACGCACAAAACATGTATTAGTACTTGGACAGTCATGACGAATCAGGTACTTTGTCACCGTGACATTAATATTCTTGTAATATTCTTCAACCAACTTTAAAATAGCACGTTTACGAGTCAGTTGTAAATTTTAACTTTATTTCTTAAAATACCGCATGAAGATATTATTATATAAATGATTGAGATCGTTTTAGAAATGGCGTCAAAATCAGTTCAATGGTTTTGTTTTAAATTTAAAGTAACCTAAAAAAATATTATTCAGTGTTGTTTATGGTCACTAAAATAATCTCATTAAACTGACTATGACAATGATGACGCTGAACCTCAATAACGAAACAATAATTTAAAAATAAAAAGTCAAAGATTGAATCGAGTTTTTTGTTGTACTAAGCATAAATGTATACCTATATGACAAAATATTATTGCATGTGAAATCACCTAAAAATATATTTATTTATGTATCGATATTTACATATTCAAATTTATAATATTAGTATGGAGAAGGGAAGGGAATTATTAGTAATGTGGATTAACTCCATTGTACCATGTCAGGTTGACCTCCATTCGGTTCCCCTTGGAAACCACCGTGGTAAATTGCCATTTGCCAAGATAGGCTAAATGACCTGACTTCATGTTCATTTTATCATCCTCCAATGGTGCCTGACATGTATAAATCGTTAGTGCGGGCGGGTGCACCATTTCATTATCGTCCATTAAAAAAAAATTTGTATGGATTTCATATTGATTATAACACGGATAGTTGTGAAGCGCAACTAGTCAACAAATACCTATCGGGTGTGTACTAAGTATAGATAATCATTTAACAATTTTATTGTGTTGATGAGTATCAGTAGATCATTATCTATTAGATAAGGGCTAACTGCGAAAAAATGACTCAGTAGGTATATTCGCGCATTGTGCACACTTTGGCACTGTGTCATTGTCCCATTATTGTCATTTCCGAATATTTTTATAAAACTATTACAATTGTGACAAAATCCTACTGCTTACACATTAATACGGTCGACTGTACAAGCACGTGCTCCATCGGTTTTATAAAAGATTATAAATTATAGGACATTTCTTCTAAATACCTTTCTATATATATTTTACAGCTAACTTTTTAATTCACGCTTTTTATAATTCTTTTTTAAATGGAAAGTGTTTTTTATTTAATGATCTCTAGTATTGGTCTCATACTGTGGACTAACATTATTTACCACATAATAATAAAATATAGTTTTAATAATTTAATATATTATTTTCAAGTAATATTACAATGTAACTACGAATCGCAAATATCCATATTATTTTGAAAACAATAGAATTAGTATAGGATAACTAAATACGAATTATTAAAACATCATACAACCATTTAATAGACGTTGCTCAGCATATTTTAGAATTATTTTATAATGAATACTGAAGTTAATCTTAATATAACCATTCTCTGATAATCAAATATGTATCAATATAATTATATCTAAGTATATTAATTATATCCATACAAACATAGTACCAACTCTTGCGAACAAATTCTTGATACCAATATTACAATTTACACCTCAATAATTTCATTTGCTCCAATTCTAATTATCAGGGTTAGGTACATTAAATTCTACAACGATTTAGTTGGTAATGAGAAACAAACTCAGTTCGTTTAAGCTCATTACTGAATTTGAGGAATCAGTGTGTATAACTTGTATTACTTAAATACTGGCATATTTAGATAAACAATCTTAACGTTTATAGAAATGGGTTATTCGAAAATAAGATTGACAAAATACATTTATTAAATAAATAAAAAATTACCCTGGACAATTAACACAGCGTCATCTAGTCCCACGGTAAGCAGAGCTTGTGTTATGGATACTAGGCAACTGTTATAAATGCTTAGATTTTTTTCTAAATATATACATAATATACATAGAAAACACCCAGACCGATACAAATAATTATACCCATGAATACAAATGTTTGCACTGTCCGAAGATTCGAACTCGCGACCTTCGGAATTAAAGCGGTGTGCTAAACCGCTGGACCACCGAGGCCATCAAATACAATTGATTAAACACAAGTAACAATTAACACAAAGACAGTTCCAGCTATTTATTAATTAGTTTTACTTTATGTAATTGGAACGGCAGATAAGCTTACGGCCCACCTGATGGTAAATGGTAATTGGTAACTCTCATCTCTATACATCAACAGCACTGCTTGCGATTGCAAATAGCTAAATAATGCATTTAAAAATACAATTATAAAATGTAGGGGGGAAGGGCATTGTTAGTAATGGGAACTAGTAACTCCCATTGCTAGCAATGTACCATGTTAGGTCGACCTCCACGCGGTTCCCCCTGGATACCATCGTGATAAATTCATCTTATCATCCTCCACTGGTGCCCCGCCAGCGTAAACCGTTAGCGCAGGCGAGTGCACCATTCCATTATCATACACAAAAAAAAAATGAAACGTCATGGAATTTTGGTATTGTTTTGTTTTACTTTTATACATTTTTTCATTTGTTCTCGAACATTCCGTGACGTCACTATTAAATTGAGCGTACGATTAATTCTTACCATCTTTTATTTCATTATTATAATAACATAAACATAGAAATATTCCTCCAGCAAACAAGCACCATGGAAATTACGTTCTGATGCGTTACCATTTCGTAGGACTAAGTTATTACGTCATTACCCAGCACGTATTTCTTCTGGAGAAAAGGCTCTACACACATGGTTCAGTACCCTGTAATTTCACTGTTTTATCTCATCGGCCACGATCGGTCGGACGATCACCCATGCGATGGACCATGAGATGATACCACTCTATGAGTGTACCAGAACGGCAGCTTGAAGGGAGAAATGGCGAGCTGTCTTAAGGCTGTCATTTGCCTCTCAGTCCACTACTTAATGACCACGACAGTTCTATCAATAAGAAGAATCTCATCAGCCGATCTACAACAATTTTACAAAGCAAGCTCATTGACATCTGAAATAGGTGAGCTATACATATGTACCTACGAAGACGTCTTTGTACAAAGTTATATTACTACACTATTATTGTGATAAAAGTCATATAAATATAAACAATAGATATATAAAGTTATTTGCTGTTTCAGTTAGATAAAAAGGTCTACTTGCCAAGTCTATAAAAAGATTATGTGTTACGCAAACACATAAACAAAAACAAGCAATTGGGTGCAATAACTCCGGTCATGGTAAGAGGGAGTGGTAATGATATTTCGATCGATGGTAATGACGCTATCGAAGGCAGTAAAATGTCTTGTATTCCCAGAAACGACTATGGGAGTGTTAGTAGGTATATTGGCAAAGAACATTTTGTTGATAATATGTAAATAATTAAAAATATTATACCTGAATAACTCATACAGCGCCATCTAGTACCAGCTAAGCAGATCTTATAGAGCTTATACTTATACCTATACATTTTATAATATACATACCTATATAAAAAGCTTCCAGGTACAAATAATCATAAACATAAATACAAATAAAAATGTTTGTACAGGACGAGGAATCAAACCCGCAACCAACGAAATAAAGCGGTTTGCTAAACTGCTAGGCCATCGAGGCTTTCTATTTAAACTATGAACATTTGATTAATTCAGTCATTTTAATAATCAAAAATTTAACAAAATGTATAATTGAAGTTTAACTGTAAATGGTGTTAGATTTCGAAACTAATAAATATAAAAGGAACTCTAGCGCTATTGCCATTCGTTTAGGTATTTTTCTCCTATGGATAAAGGCACTGGAGGAGATTTATAATCAGCATGAAATCAGATCATGGTGAGATCACCAAGAATTAACAACGATGATTTCCAGCGGCGACCGCGTGGAGTCCGACCTTACATTACCATTACATTAGTAATGGTATCACCAGTCATTGTATACAATCTTCTTTTATTTATTTTCGTTATTAATTTTGTGATTATATTAAAATAATTAATATAATCACAAAATGAACAAAATAACTCGGTAATTATATTTACTTTAGGTAAAATAAAAACTATTGAAGTAACTGGAAAGACTATTCATTTAACCCATTTCTATTTTCTACTATTATACTATCATAGATTCTACGTCAAAGTTAATAAAAAATCAACGTTCTTCTAACTTCAAACAGTTCAAGAAAAATCAGAAACCACCGTCAGCGGAAATCATCGGCTTCTTTGTTAATTACAAAGATCAAATTAAGACTAACTATCGTAGTCATATGATGATAATATTTATCATATCGAAATATCCGCATATTAAATTAACTATTTACCAATTAAACTAATTAAAAATAGCCACTTTATAAACATTTTATTGAACATCACAAAAACAATAAGTCGAGATGGGAAGTCTTATTTTATCAAATAGCAACACTCCATACTAGAGGTTATCAATGAATAACAGAGATACTGATATCAGTAATCAAAATACAAGATGTTGTTCGCGTATCGTTGCTAAAAAACATAAATAAAATACCCTAATATTTATTACCATTAAGTCGAACTGAAATGAAACAAAACCGAACGTTCGTTTAAAATATGACGTGTATAGTTTTAATAAGTGATAATGAGACATAAAAGGATTAGTAATGATACTTATATGGACAAGTAAACCTATATAATACGCCAATAAACTTAGATATACGATAAGGTGAAATTATAAAAAGTACGGTCTTAGAAAAATTCGCCATCATTTGTTAAAAACATATTTCACAATGTGGTCACTTGCTTTGCTATTTGGTTTGGTGGTGTGTACTTTATCAGTACCAACTGGAAGGAACTCGCCTGCGTTCGCTATAGAGGAAACAGTAAGTATATCTGTAACTAATGGGTATGATATTGCTTAAATTTCATACTTACAAAATATGGTTGCATACTCATAATAACAACCTATTTCTTTGACGGTTGATAATAAAATAGTGCACCCGCTTACTCTAAAGGTATACGCTGTCAGGACAAGTTCAGAATAATAGAATGAGGATGAAGTCAGGTCGGTTAGTCCGTCGTGAAAATTTCACCAGATTGATTTTAAGAGAAGACTGCGTTTAGGTCGACTATATTCATGTACTTTACTCACTAAAGTCTCTAGTCTAGTCTCCACCAGTCTTCTTAATAATCCACTTCCCCCATAACAACCTATAATCGTCCGACTATTGAACTCTCCTCATAAGAGCATTTAGACTGCGTTATTACGCTGGCTATATGATAAGGCTTTATTTCGAGTTACTCTTTTCTGCCATAGTAGTTTTTCCTTTATTACCTTAGGAGAAAAAATGGATTGTTTCTTACTCTGTCACAATAAATTTTCTGTATGACATGAGTACCTACAAGTACATGAACATAACGGATTTTACATTAAGATAATTCCTAAGAACTAAGATGTTTTCTTACAGTTTTACAAATTTTAAGAGCCTCTCGATACGATTTATATTTGTTATTTTAGTGAAATTTACTAATTTTATCATAGTATAAAGAAATAATTTACCCTATATAAATCACATAAGATCATCTAGACCGTAATGAAGCAGTATTTATACCATGGGTATTATTAGACAATAAACAGAAATACAGAGTTACAATTTCTTTGTAAATATTATTGTTAATGAATAGAAAATATTCAAATATTACAAATATTAATAAATATTAAATATTATAAAATAAGACTTAATATTAAATGATAAAGACCACTTTAAAAAAGACAGGCTAGAAAATCCATGCATCAGAATAGACAGCTATTGAGCGGAACTCCATGTATAGCCGTCGATTTCCGGCACTTATCATTTGTGCTCACTTCAGAACATCCCCATTTTGGTCAATAGACGCTTTTAAATTCACTTGCTCACTGATTTCAACGTTAAAACGAAATCTTACACAATTTTAAGTACATGTCGATAATATAGTATAGATATAAGTGCATCACAAGCGGTTTCAGTTCAGTTTTATTTTATACAAAAGTTTACTTTTTCATGTTCAACTTTTCTTTTAGCCAAAATTGGTTTCTAAGCAGATATAAATGTAGATGTGTACGAGTATACACTATGTTATTGTTTAGGCTTACCAAAAGCAGCAAATATTAAGAATGGAATCCTAATAAAACTATTACTAAATATTTAATTATTTTTTTTAATATTATAGGCAGAATGGATCCGTTATGAAGGGTACGTGGCTGAAACTCATAACGTGGTGACACATGATGGATACATTTTGGAAGTGCACAGGATACCATACGGGCGGTTCCAGACCGCTTCGACTGCTAAAAGACCGGTAGTATTTTTGATGCATGGTCTAATGGCAGCTTCAAACTGCTATATACTTCTTGGTCCGCAAAACAGCTTGGGTGAGTACTTTTATTTTAATTTTGTGATAGTCGTAGACCATCATAATCAAATAGAAAATGTAGGATCAAAGGGAAGGGTCATTAGTACATATGGGTCAAGCAAGTTATAAAATTGGATGATAAAAGAGTTATGTACTGTAGAGCTTTAACAATCGGTATTCTTTGCTTATACTGTATTAGGTATACAAAGTAACAGCTTATTTTTTTTAATAAGCTGTCTACATACAAATCTCTTTACCTGCAACTAGCAGGGAAAATTTTAAATATGAAAAAATATTGAATGCATGATAACAATGTAAAAAAAGAGAGTAATTATTCAATATGACTCACGGAGCTAATTCTATAGTCAAGAAAGCAAATTCCTAACTAGTTAATTTCTATTAAAAATAAATTTATGTTTAAGGTGATTAAAGTCAACAACCTAGATAAATAAGATTAAAGGCAAAACATGTTCTATTATAGGACCTTGATTAGATTGTGAAACACATATTCCTAAACACTTTTATTGGTAAGAACCTAATCCAAAATCTATCCAACAGCTTACAACTACGCCGATGCTGGTTTTGACGTATGGCTGGGCAATGCTCGTGGCAACAAACTATCTCGTCGTCATGAAGAACTAGACCCTGACAACCAAAAACGAGACTTCTTCGATTTCAGCTTTGAAGAAATCGGCAAGTACGACGTTGCACAGATGATTGATTATGTTCTGGAGTATACTGGAAGTGAACAACTCCATTACGTAGGCCATTCGCAGGGAGGTACAGCATTCCTTGTACTGGCATCATCATTGCCGGAGTACAATGCGAAATTTGCTTCTGTTAACCTCTTGGCTGGTGTGGGATATCAGAACTATTTCCCAAGTTTACCACTGCGGACTTTGGCAAGACTCACCAATACAATTTATGTAAGTTATAATTCTTTATCACGATGATACGTACTTTCCTTTTATTAATTTCAACAATATTTATATAGATTAATAAGTATTGTTGAAATTACATACTATTTTCACTATATTGTAGCTTAAGTAAGCCAACCCAACTTAACAAGCAAAATTAACAGAAGATAAAGTTTGCCAACTTTATTCTCCAGCTAATATCCGATAGATCAAAGTATAGAGGGCTAAAATGGAGAAGTATCGCTCATATAACTTAAAGAGCAAAAGCCAATAGTTATAAAACAGATTCTGTAATAAGGTAAATGTAAATTCATTTAAACTATTTGGAGCAACAATCCTTTTTCGTATTTTCTTATGAATAAAGATAAATAAGTAAACATACTTTCTTGATTATTATTACAGGCTTCAGCAGTCGCTCTTGGACTCGTAGAGGTAGCAGCACCGTCCTTCTTCAGAAGAGGTGATGACGACAGTATAATAAATGCTGTACCTGAGGACGAATATCTATCCGAGCTATCGACCATCACAGAATTACTGGTGAGTCTTGAAATTCCATTCATAACTTCTTATTATACTGACTGCCTATGGTATAATTTAGAATACAAAGAAAAATAGTAAATTACTTGGTTTGTTCGTAAATGCATTGCTTATAATAAGGAATTAGGCCTCATTACACATGAATTTCACTGCCCATTTTGTAAGATAAATAAGCTTTTAGTAGTTTATTCTAAATCTAAATCATTCATTCTATTACATTATTTTATACCTAAATAAATATATGAGGAAGTTTTGACAAAATGTTTATGCTTTGAAAAATGTATTCAAATTTCAATAAACTAATTTCAGCAGACAATATCATGATCATCACTATAACCATAATAAAACAATGTTGATTTCATTAATACGTATAGAATGTAATTATAGAGGTGTTTGTTAGTAACAGAAACTAGTTACCCCATTTGCTAGAAGCGTGGAAACCGTGTTAGGTTAAGAAGTTTCTCATGAAAATTATCACATTTAATTCCTGTTGATTTAGTCGAGATGGAATAACTGACCTGACTGTATCCTCATACTTATCATAGTTCAATGGTATACCGCCAGCGTGATCCGTCACAGCAGGTGGTTGCACTATTCCATCATCATCCCCAAGAAAAATAGATGCAGGTTTATACTAGAAGAATAAGTAATGAGACAGATAACATTATTTATCTAAGTACAAACTCAAGTGGAAATAAAGATCAAAATTAAACAATGATTGTAATCGTTATCTGATAATACTTATATTATTATCTGATAATATTAAACAATTAAGTGACAATTTTATCTCTCCGTATCTCTACTATACAAATAAAAAAACAATTCCGGGTTCGAATCATTACAATTGCCATGAATCCGTGTTATCGTTCAGTCGATGTCATTTTTCATTTCTATGGAAAATCGGTGTTACAAATACACCGTTTTCCGATAACAAGTACAGTCGCGTGCAATGTATGTCGCACATTAATTCTTTGTCACATTATTTTTTATTTACTAAATATAAATTAAATAAAAACGTACTTATTGTTGGAAATATTTACTACCAGTACAGGGATGAAGAATAAATCACAAATACAATAATAATCACTTATAAAATACAAATTACGAATAAATTATAAATTATTGTACAAGGTACCAAAAATCTTAACAATTATTAAGTATTCTATGTTTTAGAGATGTAGAAAATTGTGATATTACTGGAATATTTTTTCAAATACACATCCTAGAGCTGCATGCACGTTAATTGTATATAAATTATTCGTATTATTCCTCTATGAGAACAACAATTTGATAAAATTTTATAGGATGGGATGAACGCTATACTAACATATAAAACTGTAACAAACAAATATTGACATAGTATTGCCACTGACCGTACTTAACTGTAGCTTAGATTTAACCGTGACTTAAGAACTTCTGAAAACCAACTGATAACGAAACGAACAAAATATACTTGTTCGGTAGGTAAATCCATTATTGACCCTTTGTTTACTTTGTCTCTTTTTTTACGGTCTAACTAAACCTATAGATTTGGATGAAAATTTAATAAGCTCATTCAATTCAGGTAACAAATTTACATTGGCTTTATTTAATCCGGAAAGTTCTAATTAAAAACTACTTATAAATTTATAAGAAGAGAAAAACTTTATTGGCCAAAAACCAATTTCACAGATGACACTCTTAATCAATCAATCTTAATCTCAATGACCAAGTTTAGTTTTCAGTTGAACTAGATTCCGAGAAAAGCATTTTGTACTGCTTTAATTTATTTTCTTTAGTTTACGACATTATCCGCAAATTCTTAAATGACATGAAAAATTGCATGTCAATCTAACAACATTATAACATACTAGCTGTGCTGCGGTTTCATCCGCGTGAAATTTATAGCCTATGTCATTCTGATGTATAAACTATATTATTGTGAAGTTTCATAAAAATTCATTCAGTAGTTTTACCGTGAAAGAGTAACAAATATTCATTCACCTATCCACACTTTCCGCGTTTATAATACTAGCGAGATTCAAGGTTAGATAAAAATCGCAACTATAATTGCAACAAAACAAAAGGCATAAATAATACAGCTTGACTTTTATGCATATAGACATACAACATATTTACCGGTGCTTACTATAAAACATAGATTTTTTTGCTACAGTAATGGCAAAACGTCACGCGATTCTAGATGCATGTCCGTTATTAGTAAAGTAGCGAGTTGCAATACAAGGAAGAAATTGATTAATCCGCGTTCACTATTATGGACGACAAAATTAATTAATGATCGTTTTATGGTCATTCATTTCCTAATTTCTACCTACTAAATGTAAATGTAATCGAAAGTGAAAAATAGTTTTTGGTTTTTACAGAAATCAGTCGTAAGTCGTAGATAGAATAAATTACCATCGACGTGAAAGTAAGATATAACTTACTTTCACTTTATAAATATTTCGGAAATTTTACAGAATCATATTTTTTTTATAAAAGAATTTGTCCAAATAATTAAAACAAGTCTTTGGGGTAAACTATTCTTATCACTTATGGGTATGAAAAATAGTTTACGTCGTATTCTCACGCCTACTGAATATACACACAAAATTTCTCAAGAATCTGTCAAGCTATTTTAGAATTTTGTTAGAAACGCTGACACGACATTTTTCTAAATTAGATTTAAAAGTCTTAGACAGTTTGTAATTACCAACTCATTTTTCGAAGTTACATGTATTCTCATTTTTCGAAGTACATGGAAGGTATATTTGTTTCTTCACTCAAGACTGAATGTTCTAGAACATTCAAAAATTAACCTATATTCATGAAAATAATAAATAACAGCACCCAACGGCTTTGATATTAGGCAACTTCTGGTTTTGACATATGACTGAACAGGTGCTCCAAGTAACAAGGTTATACTGTCGCTGTGTGATCCTTAAGCATTAACTTGTAGCATATTATATGAAGTAAACATAAATTTCACATGGGAGTGGAAATGCTTTTAGGTGGATAGAGTTATTTTTAGTTCAGTAATTCAATTTACCCAGGTAAAGAAGCGACGTCAAAACTATATAACTAGTATTTGATACAGTATAACCAGATCCGATTATATATTTTTTGCAATTTTTATGTTTTAATTAAATACCAAAACGCAATAAAGAATTGTATACATTTTTAGAAGGCATATTTAGAAAAAAGATATATATTATAAACGAAAAACAAATAAATAATAATATCGCAATATTAATTATTAATAGGAAAAAATCACACAGGACACATTATCATTTAAATGAGAATAAAATAAATAATACTAATAATTTGTTTCAAAATTCTGTTTTACAGAGAGACGGTGCTGACGATTCTGATAACAGTAACATGTTTGGTGGAGCTGCCTTGAAACAAATAGCGCATTTCGGTCAAAATATAAGAGACAAAACGTTCAGACGTTGGGACTATGGTTTATTAGAAAACAGGCGAGTCTATGGATCCGTTAGTCCACCAGTCTACGATTTGAGTTTGATAACATCTAATGTAACGATGCACTACACCGTTAGTGATGTTTTACTTGATGAAAGAGATGTATTGGCCATGGTGAATGATCTACCAAACGCAAGAGCCAGGAAAGTAGCGAGAGAAGATTTCTCGCATTTAGATTTCGTCGCAGCTCTTGATGCTAAAGAATTATTAACGGATTACATCATTGAATCGACGGTGCAAATTGAAAATTTGTAAGTATTTTTATATTTACGTTGTTCACAAGACTAACACTAAATTAAATACTACACTGGTTTTGAACTTTTTTAATGGTTGAAAAGCAAAACTCAATAAATTGTAATTTTGTCTTAGAGCCATCTAAGCAAGCCATAGAAGTGAACTAAATTAATTTAGATCACGAGTCCAATTTTTTGATCTATTGTGAGCTTTTGTATATAGATAAAACCAGTACCACAATAATTATAAAATACACCTTGCAACTTATTATTACTCCTGCAACCCCTTTTGAAGAGTAAGATGTTACGCCTCTGCACCTAATTTTACTACCATAGCTTAGACTTTAAAGTAGCTTTCAAAGCTAGCATACAGTCGATATAGTACAGGTTTTTCAGCTATTATTCAGTAGTGGTCGGTAAATATATACGTTGTAGGATGAACCTGATAATTAACGTAGTACATCTTATTATTTGAGTGTTTAAATGTTTTAAGACAGATAATTCTAATCAGTATTCATGACAGACTTTACTTGATGTAATAAATGAAAGTCAAATACATAGCTATGTTGTTTACAAGTATTATAATACTATTTATAGTAATCAAGACTAGATAGTCATTACCATTACCGTTATGCTATAGTTATATTGTTTTAATACCTTATTATTTCTTTTCTTTCAGGAGATCTACAGGAAAATAGTCAATTAAATGTACATCTATAATATTATAATATAAACAATTATTGCTTAAAGAAAATTTCCCAGTGGATAATAATATCTGATACATTTTTTACGAATTAATTCAAATAGAATTGATTAAAGAAGATTCTGGATCAGAGAACACAATTGATTCAAATGTACCAGATACTGGTAGTATTGTGGAACTAACTCTAATTATTACTAGTATATATCAACCAATTTATATTCTGGTTTATACTATAAGGAACTGAAACAAATTTTCCGCTTGGTGGAGGAGTTATCACAATTTTTATAGCAATCTAAACTTTTGTACGTTATTCATATAAGATCATTTTGTTAAATGTCAACAATTTATAAACAATTTTCTTTGTAAATAAATAATGTAAATAATCTCCCTGTGTTAGTTATTACTATTTCAACGTATCGTTTTATTATAAGTTATATTAGTGATACCAATAAATTATATTTCAATGTTATATGATATTACTCTAATTATTTAATATCAAAAGGCATAACATTAATTACAATTTTCATTGCATAAATTAAATTTTGAATATATATCAAAAGCATTTCAGTTTGTTATTTAAAACAGGATACTTTCCCGTTAGTTAACACGTACTCGTATTTCTCGCTTAATGATAAACAGCATTAACTTTAAAATGTCTAATTTTGTAAAATAGACTGTAAAGTTTTGATTTAATGTCGAATTTATATTATTTGCAATTTATAGTTAAAAGTGTTTATTATTAAGCGTATATTTGAAAATGAGGTAACATATGTTTCGTAAATAGGGACTATATTTTTTAATAAATCTTAATTATACCTGATCATAATAATGTCAAATGTCATACAAAACCACTGCAACTACTACAATGTCACACACTGCACTATACATTAACTAGTATTACACTTTCAACAGCATATGGCTTCCTACATATTAATAAATTCTATGTTGTTTATGGAATTTTTCTTGTCCATAGACAACGGTTCTTTTCCAAGACACGGGTCACAATATCGTTCTGCTCTCGATAACATAAAGAGATGACAAACTATAAGTTTATTTTATTTATTTAAATTTAATGCACACAATACAATAGTACCTACATTTGGTAGACTTAACATCATGCACTATTGTAGTAAAAAATGCGTAATAGTAGTAAAAAGTTGAAAAAATATATAAAATTAAATAAATTTAATAGAAAATCAGAAAATTTAGTGAAAGGTCATAAAAAATGTTTAAAATCAATTATCACTAGGAAGCAAAAAATAGACTTATCAAAAGAATTAAATAATTGTAAAGAAAAATTATATAATATTTAGATTAGAATTATCACAAAAAATTAAGGTCATAAAAATGTTTAAGGAATCATTAGATAATAAAACACAATGGGGTGCACAAATTCAAAGTCTTGCAGAGAAACTGAAAAATGCCGTGCGTAAGGTTAGACAGTACACCTGATACTGCTAGATTGGTCTATTTTAATTATTTTATATATTCTTATGGAACATTATATCCAGATATTAAAAATATATGTTCAAAAATAAAAATCTTAACTTCATTTCCAAAAAACAGCAATATTCATTTATATATTAATACTAGATTTAAAGATAAACAATATGCTGATTTAAAGACAAACTTGCTGTATCGTTTAGAAAAAGTCAATAGGTCTTTTATGGGAATAGGTATAAAAATTTACAATAAGATACCAAAGGATATATTGGAGTTACCCTTAAATAAATTCAAAACATCTGTTAAATCATATTTACTGAGCAATGCCTATTACTCACTAAACGATTACTTGAATGACGAGCGTGCATGGCAATAGTTTTCATGTTCGGGATTTTCATTTAATGTTAGACATAGACACCTATATAAATACCTATGCATTGTAAATAAACTGGATTTAAAAAAAAAGTAATTCAACTGGACGGTAGGGAAAAAAAATATGTAAAAACTTGATGTTCATAAGCGGCTAAAATGTCCTACATGAATAAATTATTTTTGAATTTGAATTTGAATTTGATTTGAATAAGACCAGTGAGAAGCTCACATATAGGATACTGCTTTTTCTTTTTCATTAGTTTCTTAGTCCTATGGTACCTACCTACCTGCATAAGTAGTAATATGGGTGTCACATGATAACCTGACTTTCGTGGTGCTATTCATACATATTGTCGACGTTTACTGCTTACCATCAGGTGGGCTGTTATCCTCTGTACCATTCAAATTATATATATAAACTAGCTACTCGCCTCGGCTTAGCACGGGTGTACATGTATTATATATATAAACCTTACTCTTGAATCACTCTATCTACTAAAAAAAAATATCTTCAAAATCTGTTGCGTAGTTTTAAAGATTTAAGCATACATAAGGACGGACAGACAGCTCCGGCGACTTTGTTTTAAACTATTTATACTATGTAATAATGATAAAGTACAAGTTAGTAGAGAAATATTTTTATTCCCTATCAACTAGCTACGTTAGGTAGAAAATCCCACTCAGAATGTGACAAACTGGAGATTGACTGAGTGAGTGAGATCTGTAACTTAGGATTCTACTCACGACCACGTAGATTGGAGTCTTCACTTTGCAGTCAAGGTTGTAATCATATAGTTCTACTAAAAGGATAGTACAGGAAAGACGTAGTCCGAAATCCTTGCATAAAAATGTGCCGAAGAGGAATAAGATTTCATGCCTCTTGTCTTCTAATTTCACTCCTTATCTCGCCCGAAAGTCCCGAAACACAGCTAACGAAGCAAGCTGATTGGCGGTTAAAATAGATTAAACTGAAGCACCCACACCGACGACCTACTCGGTTTTTTTTTTGGTGGTTTTGGGCTATTGTTAGATGCTATAACCTGTAACACTGCGACCTGCATAGATCTATTGTGCTCGCCCTTTTTCAAAGTTCGCTATCTAGACCCGTGAGGGACAAGAATTGAAAGATTCTTAGGAGCGATGATTTTTATCCCTCAGGATAGAGTATATACTTTCCAAAGGAGGTATTTTGTTAATGCATGAGTGGGTCACAACCAAGTGACGGTGTACCTATGTTTTACTTATAAGCGTGATCTGGATAACTTGGTTAACTGGGTTAGCAGTAAATAATTATTTTCTAAAATCAATCACTATTTTGTGGTGCCGTAATCAAGACGAACGGTTGAGTAAGTAATGTAAGCGTAACAAGCACACTATCTAACTACTTACAGTATTAGTTACAATATAACACAACGCATTTCTATTAATACATGTAGTGGTAGTGATATACTAAATGTTAGTAAAAAAATGTGACAATTATTACAATGTAAAGAGCCCAGGTCTGTGGGGATTCCAAATTGGGAAACAGTGCTGTGTTGCTATTACACAAAATTAGATAATAATTGTTGCCACTTGCAATTACTTACAAGGACGAATAACTACAATAATCTATTATCTATACATCTATACATATAAATAAAATTGGAGTGTCTGTTTGTAATATTGAAATAACCGTTTTTACTACATGCATACGAATACGGTACATACACCAAAAAACGACTTTTTACAATTTTTGTCTGTCTGTCTGTCGGTCTGTTTCTGGCTAATCTCTGAAATGGTTGGACCGATTTTAATTAACGAGTACTTAATATAATTTGTTTTTTTGGAATTAAAATTAAAATATATAAATAAATGGTAACTGATGTAATAAGGAGTAACTTAAGTTACTTTTATTTTAGAAAAAATAAAGTTAAATTCCACGGGGACGAAGTCGCGGGAACAGTTAGTTCATTAATATAACCGAGTACTTAATATAATTTGTTCAGGTAATAAGTGTATAAAATATGTAAGATCTAGAATAATTTAAAAGTACTAAACCGCTACTATACATATACATATATATGGTTAGTCATTAGTGATCTTCCGAAGTAAGCGGTGTACTAAACCGCTAGACAGACTATACATATACATATACGATCAGTTCCAAGTATAACATATTAGTTCTCTGGAAAGGCAGTGCATGAATGATATTACGGATGTCTCTTGATAGTCAGCTACTCGCACCGGCTTCTCCCAGGTGTTGATTAGTTTTAAAGATTTAAGCATACATAAGGACAGACAGCGACAGCGACTTTATTTAATACTATGTAATGATGGATACTGTATAAATGGTTTGCCATTCCAATTTTATAAAAAAATGTGAAAGCCAGTGATTTGCTAATCTGGTCTGGAAATCAGTGATTAGCAAATTTACATGTTTAATTTAGTATTAAAATATGTCAAAAGAGTACTGTTATAACATATTTTTTAAAGGACTACTCCAAAATACTGTCGGTCGCTGCTGGTAAAGAAGGTCGTAATACTTCCGGTAGAGGTCTGAGGATCTTTCAGCACTGAATGTTTGTGGTCTCACACATGTTAATAGTAGCTGATTTAAAATGAAATAATACAAATCCATAAAGTAATGTATGACTTCCGCAGAATAACACCTAATTCGATTAAACGTATCAAAATTTCAATTCACTTTTAAACCTTGTTTCTTGATGAAAATGGTTTAATTTCATTTGTATCCTACCTGGCTATGGATTTGGCATATGCTTTACTACTAATCCTCTATTAATCTCGCATTACGTTAGTACGACAGCACCTAATTGTCAATTGATTTTTTGCTGTGTTTAAAATGTCAGGATAAAATTTTAATTAACGATATATCTGAAAAATTTTAATATAAAATTATTTTCAAACAGATATCGAAGTTCTTTATTCAAATAATTTTAATATAAGCAATTTTGAAATGTCATTTATGTGATTCTACTGCTCATTCGGATTGCAAATTCAGGCAAGACATAAAAATATAGAATAACAGAAGAGGAGTAAAAAACTGCTTGTTGTATTTCAGATTGGAAGTGTATATTTATACTAATATTATAACAATGTAAAGTTATGGAATTAGCATATTCAGGGTGATCTAAGGTCCTGTCAATGCGATTTTGAAAATCTACTTAGTGTTGGATAAAGGATATATATAATATCACGCCATAACCTATAGAAGAATATAGAAAAAAATGCAAAAACTGAGTTAAGATGAAACGCACACAAATAACACAAGTCATATTGTTAAAACTAAAATATGCAAAGTGCCTTAACCACCCCAATTGACTGGTTAGTCAATATAAAAAAATTACCCTAAGTATTTAAAAGGAGTCACTATTGTATAGTAATTCATCCCAATAATTTTGAGGAGCTTACTGTTGCTGTAGCTGGCTATCAGGCTATACCATTTAATGTTCTATACGAGATGTCTATAAAAATCACAATTTCTTACATTAGGGACATTTAGCCATTTATGATTAGACACAACCGTAGATACTTTGCCAAACTGAAGTTATTTAGTAATCAATTTAAGGTAACACGATAACTGTAGCAATTAGGATCATAAGTATACTTTCGACCCTTTATGTAAAAAATGTTATCTTTACCGTCCACTTAGGTAGCACGTACCACGTAGTCAATTCAAAGTAGAAGAAATCACAAAAAACTCTTGAAAACGAATACAGGAAACAATAAACATTTCATTTCTTAATCTACATTATTTAATAATAATAATAATAATAATAATAATTAATAAATTTATTTACCTACTACTCTCACTAATTAAAAATATTTTTATTCAATAAAATCGTAATAAAGCCGTGTTTGTACATTAATATATTTTTCATAATAACATTTTCTGCAAGTAATTCATCCCGAGGTTTAAATAAAATATTTGTAGTATTTTTGTCGGTTTGTTTGGTTTCACACATAAATGTGGTTTTCTTTGATAAAGTTTACCATTTTATATAGTACCCAATTATGTATTATATTTCCATCGATTTATAAACAAACTAGTTGAGTCAAATTGTTATTACGAATACCATGCGAGCGGAGTCGCGTGCTCAGCTAGTTGTGAATAAGTGAAAATATTTTTGTGCACCGAATTATCGATTTAATAAGCAGGATGCTAGGATCATAAATTAGACGAATGCTTATTGACAATTAAATCGAAATTAAAACAAAAAGAAAACAAAACCTAATGGTTATTTAAATTGTCCGTCATAAAAGGATTTATGGTACTTGCGGACAAATAAACTAATATATTACTACAATAAAATTAAATACTCGATAAGGCCCAATTATAAATAGTAGGATCTCATTTTTATCCGATCATTTGTTAAAGATATTGCAATGTGGTCACGACTTTTTCTGATATATTTTTTTGTGGTGTGTGGCATAGCCTTACCGGCTGAAAGAGATAGACCCGTATTCACTATTGATCAAATAGTAAGTTCATTTATATGTGTCTGATATAGCAAACGAGCTCTGGCCCACCAGATGGAACTTTAGACTTTACTAGAATTACTATTATACTTCATTATTTCTTACTTCAGCCGCCAAGCAGCTTGCTTTGTAAGCTGTGTCGGTTGTAGGGTGTAATTAGGCACTGATATTACAGGATAAAAGGCATCTTGGTCCTCTGGAGTGAGTGTTATCACGTATGTCAGATGATAACGATGTCTGTTAATATATATAGGGGATGGTTACTGCATACCATAAGGCTGGCCGTCATCTTTCCATTCTAATTAAATTAAATAAAGTAGCATTTTCTTATATATATACATGAACAGCATGATGGATATTAGCTCATAAGACGCCAGTAGTATCCACTCATGTGTGTTCAATCCTGGGTATGAAATTGACATGCCTCGGTAAAAAATCAAATGTAGCTAATAATTTAATTCTTACTAACCTAATTATTTATAGTTATACTCTAAATATACTCCCATTACGTAAATTAAATTAAATTAACCTTAATATATTAAAATAAATATATTAAAATATGCCGTTATATTTACTTATAATAAAAAGGTTGCTTATGATCTCTTCGTCGATAACGTTATATAGATAACTCGCCCTGGCTTCGCCTGGGTATACATGTATTATACATATAAAGCTTCCTCTTCAATTACTCTATCTATTAAAAAAAATTGCTTCATAATCCGTTGCGTAGTTTTAAAGATTTAAGTATACATAGGGACGGACAGACAGCGAGGTTTTTATACTATGTAATTATTAATTTATTTTATTTAACAGCATAGAGAATCCTTTATTCAAATAAACTTAACTCTAAGCATATCTGTATAGATATTTTTTTTTAATCTACCACTCATTCTGAAAGCTGGTTCATCACAACAAGGGCGATCAAGAAACTTGAGTGTTGCCTTTTTAAATAATTATTATAACTTTACATTTCTAAGTTTAAATGTGTGAATACAAACTTACCAACTAACACTAATTCATCTACAGTTAAAATATTAACTACACAATAAGATTAAATCAGTTGTACTGATTAGAACAAACTAGCACCTACAAGCAGCACTCGTCTCGTGAACGAGTATGACGGATGAATCAGCTAATCAAATAAATATCCTTGTTTCAGTCTTTCTATAATTATAGCAGTTATACCAGAAATCGTTGACCGTCTATGTTAATTAATTAGTATATAAATATTAATTAATATTATCGATATGAAACTGAATTTTTTGCTTTTACTCTATAACGTTATAAAGGATAGATAAAACGTAAAACTACATATAGCATTTGGGACGGATTAAGACTACCTTATCATTGTCTAGTAGACATAGTCTCGAACAGAAATTGTATCATGAAAATTAAGTAATGAGCGTAACGTAATTCGTATTGTCTATTTCATCTATTCTTGTTATATTTCTTCTTATTCTAATATTGTAGCCCCAATGGATTGAATATGACGGATATTCAGCTGAAGTCCACAATGTCAACACACCTGATGGGTACATACTGGAGTTGCATAGGATACCGTACGCACAGCACCAGAGTGCATCCTCTACTAGAAGGCCAGTGGTTTTCTTGATGCACGGCCTGATGGCGGCTTCCAACTCCTACATTACCCTTGGACCACGATATAGCATAGGTAAAGTAACTTTTTTCCTTATTGACCTTTAAATTTTTTTTTATGGGGGAACGTATTATTAGTGATGTGGATTAATGATTCTATTGCTAACAATGTATCAGGTTAACCTCCACGCGGTTCCCACTTGAAACCATCGTGATAGAGAATGAAATATGCGTAACAATGTTATTAACAGTTTCCACTTTTGATTCTAGATGGCATTAGTGAAATATTTAAAAGGCACTGTTAAGTTTTATGTAAATTTATATAGTCAAACGGAATTTTTAAGTATGAAAAATTTACCACTGCATTATTATAAAGCCATACCAATTTTACAATTATGATGCATAACATCGTAAATTGATAATTTGATATAGATTTGGCAATTTGATAATATTGTATTGCCCCCCTATGGTAAAAATTACAGCCTGATATTTGATAAGCGATTTTGATACCTAAAGCGGTAATCGTGATATTTGAAACGTTCACAGTTAATTAGAATTAGATACCATTCGAACTAAACTATTAAATTTATATATATATATATATATATAGTATAGTACAATAAAAATCCTAGATAATTCACACAGATAAATTAATGAAGTTTTAGGCTATGCACAGCTTGTGTTGTGGGTAATAAATATCTAATATAAATACTTAAATATTTCTTTGTAAATACACACATAATAAAAGAAAACACAGACCAATTCTAACAATCGTACCCATTAATACAAATAATTGATTAATGGGTTTGATTGAGCGAGGAATCGAACCCGCGACCATCGGAAATATTTTAAAATTCAGTGTTTAGTAATATTTTTTTACAAAATAGGGTGGGATGCGACATAATATACTAACGTCCCACTATCGAATGGAATGACATTGTTATGTTTTAACAGTACCTAGGTATTATTCATATCTTGAATACCGATTATTTAACTTATCAGGTATTTTCCAGTAAATCAAGTTAGATTATAACTAATTAGAAGTCATCAAAATGCTTATCAACATTATTCTTGATAAGAACTTCGCATTGTTAATTTGTGAACTCCATCTAACAGCTTACAACTACGCGGATGCCGGTTTCGACGTGTGGATGGGCAATGCCCGTGGTAACAGACTATCACGCCATCACGAAGCACTCAACCCAGATGATGATGAAGAGAAACTCAAATTCTTCGACTTCAGTTTCGAAGAAATTGGGATTGATGTTGCTCAAATGATTGATTATGTCTTGGAGGTTACTGGCGAAGAGAAACTTCATTACATAGGCCACTCGCAGGGAGGTACAGTGTTTCTTGTGTTGGCCTCCATGTTGCCGGAATATAATGAGAAATTTACCTCGGTTCACCTTATGGCCGGTGTTGGATACCAAGATTATTTCCCAAGTAGAATACTGCGTTTCCTAGCCAGTTATACTGATGAGATTCACGTGAGTTTCTTTAATAAAATATAAAATTATAATAAAATTAATAATATACTTGGACAATTCACGCAGCGCTTGTCAATCAAGCTGACTGACAGTCTTATATTTAATTGTTAAGTAGTTATTAGTATTTAAGTGAATATCTAATGTCTAAAGAAATTAAAAATAAATAGTATAGGAATAAAACAATAATACATAATGTATATTTTTGTGTATTATTATACAGACTAGACTTAATTCTTTGCAGTACTGCAGTGACCAGTTGCAGTAATTTATTTATTAGTAATTCAGATAACTCTACAGTTACTTTAGTTATTAAATTTGACACTCAACGAGCGATTGACGACGGTCATTCCGGTTGACAAATCCGTATCCGTACCTATTTCTGTTTTTTTACGTATTGATTAAAAAAAATAAACAAAATTTTAAGTGAATCTTATTACAATATATTAGCGAAATCCCTTTTCATTTTAGAAACGAGTTTTTTACTCACAAACAGACAAAAACTATAAGTCATTGATTGTCTTATAAAGTACCCCAGTAATAGTTTTTCTCATATATCTTTTATATAAAAATTGTGGTCAGTTACATATTTTTTATATTTAGTTTTCTGATAAAAATAAATAACTAATAAATACCTAATATTATTTCAGGCTGCAGCTCTCCGTTTGGGTTTGGTAGAAGTATCATCTTCTACTCTGAACTTGAGTCCTGATTTGACAGATATAGCAGTAGGAGAAAATTTACAGGACTATTTAAATATTCTCATCGCTATTATTCAATATCTGGTGAGTCTTATTATATATTTAACGGAGGTAGAACTGTCAAAAGTCGGTTGCTCAGTCTGGTCTAGAGTCTGAAGTCGTCTTCAGTCGGTTAGATAGTGAAATTACAGGATGAGAGAATTGACATCATAGTAATCCGAAATGGGAAGACATAATTGACATCAGAGGTATCATATTAGAACCAACTGTCCACTAATACTACTATAATACCACTACTATTCATATACTCGTATACAGGCAAAGATTAACACTTACTTAGAAGTTAGGAGGGCCGTTAGTTTATTTGGCATCATCATTTGCTTCTTCCTTATCCCATTTATTTGGGGTCGGCGTAATGATTTTCTCTTCCATTCATCCCTGTTCGCAGTCATCTCGTTATTTACTTCCTTTCTTACCATATCATCTTTCACACAGTCCATCCATCTTTTTTCGTCCTTCCTCTGCCCTTATAACCATCCACATTCATACGTAACACCTTCCTTAAAATATTATCTTTATGCCTACGGATTATATGTCCATACCACGATAGACGATTACTCTTCAACTTCTCCGACACCAGCGCCACTTTCATACTTCCTCTAATGTATTTATTCATTATTTTATCCATTCTTGTCACACCACACATCCACCTCAACATTCGCATTTCAGTTGCATGCAGTCGTCTTTCATCCGTCGCCTTTACGGCCCAGCACTCTGATCCATACAAGACAGAATTCAAATTAAATAAAGAAATATATACTTATTGAAACGCTACAGTATTGTTCATACATTTGATTATATACGGAGCACGTTTATTTATTATCAACAGAAACTAAACAATAGTATATATGAGTTCGCAATCTTATTGCTGGTGGTAATGTTTAGGTAACGTTTATCTTTTTATCAGTATAATAAAAATAACATAAATTATTCCGGGTTGGAATTAGTGGGATTAAAATTTTTATGCGCACATGCGAACCATCGAATATGTTTATGATAAGTTAATTGAATAAATTATTATATTTTTTTTCATAGAACGAGTGCGATAAACATACACGTCATTTACAGTGTGTCAGGGCATATAATGACTTTTATCTTTGGACAAATTAAAAAAATGGATTTTAAGAGTTATCATTTGTTAATTATGAAGTAAATTATGATCATGTATAGTCTAATTTTCTATCGGTAAATAAAAAAGACTATATAACACGTGTGCCTTATGTAGCCCAAGTCAAGACATAAAATAGCGTGTGAAATTTTCTGAAATAGTATTTTCAAGCCTATTTATCGTAAAAGATACTATTATAAATTATGTCAGTGTAAATTAAGTCTATAATTATTGTAACAGAACGCCAAAAAACACATTCAATTACAGTATTTCTTTAGTTATGATTACAGGATATTGCTGTACTTTTTTCAGACATTCAAACTTAAAAAAAAAGTAAATTGTTGTGGCATAGTTTGTATATCTTTTTACTGATCGAATTATCAATAATAAGTCGATTATTATAAATTAAGATACTGGTAGGCTACCTGCTACATTGGATATAGGTTTATTTTATGTAACTGGTTTGGTAAATAAGTAGACGGCCCACTGGTGCGTCCATGATACCACTCATACGTTGCCATTGCAGTGAAATATAATGTCATGCTTTTTATTTCGTTATTTTACTGCCTAATCGCACCTTACAATAAAAGTACAGCTCACAAAGCAATGTTTGTATTGTAAATTATTAAAATTACCGCCGTTAATACTGATCATAAATTATTCAAACCTTCCAGAGGGATGTCACAGACACAGGTATAGAACAAGATGTACCAGATATGTTCGGTGGAGCTGCCTTAAAACAAATCGCACATTATGGTCAAAACATAAGAGACAAAGCATTCAGACGATGGGATTACGGTGCAGTTAAAAACAATGAAGTATATGGAACAGTCACGCCACCAATATACGATTTAAGTTTGATAACAGCTAACGTAACAATGCATTATACCATTAATGATAGACTGCTTGATGAGCGTGACGTATTAGCTATGGCAAGAGACATGCCTAATACAGTTCCTAGAAAAGTAGCGAGAGATGACTTTTTGCATGCAGACTTTGTAATAGCACTTGACGCTAAAGAATTAGTAACGAATTATATGATTGAATCGATGTTGCAGGCAGAAAATATGTAAGTATTTCAAAATTATGTCAAATTCAGCTTTGCATTGTTGACATTATAGTATTGTAGAGTAATCTAATTGTGTATGCTAAAATTAGGATGTGAGTTTCAAAGTTTGGGGTAATTTCCGGTACTACTGAACCGATTTATTTAATTATTTTAATGTTGGACAGCCCATTTATGGAGTACGGTTATTAGCTATATAACGTAAAGTTATGATTAATGAGAAAAATATTGCAAAAACATAGAAAATATAACGAATAAACTATAAAATGAAGTTGTGCGCTTCAAATAGTTAATAAAAATAAAAATGAAAATAAATTACATCCCCTGTTACTCACTTATAATATAGATTACAAAAAGCGATATATTTTTATGTAATATTATTATTTTATTTAAACTTATTTTATAATATGCATGATTATTAAGCCGTGTAAGTACGTGCAAGAATATCTTGACCAGAATCGATAAAAATCTAGGGTTTTAAAAGACAGTAGAGTTAATAATATTATAGTATATCATTATAAACCATCTGATTGAAATTATCATTCTAATTAAGTATGTATTCCTATATTGATTGAATGCGAAATATAATTATAATGAATAAAAAACACACACAGATATTCCGTGTTATATATGCATTAAAAAATTAATGAAAACCAAATCCAAATGAAGTTAAGCCGTTTCTATAATACGTGCACAAACACACAGATGCGCAAATATACAAAAAGAATTCTACAAAAAATCAAAACTCCTTTTATTTAAAGAAATATTTAGGGAACACAGACAGTCTCGATTTTATTATATACTAGCTGACCCGCGCAACTTCGTCTGCAACATTTATGATTATATTTTGCTCAATTTGCATATCATTCTTTTAAATCATAGCCTATAGTTGTATTCTGATATATGAGGTACATTACTATAAAGTTTCAAAATCGGTTAAGTAGTTTTTTTGTGAAAGAGTAACAAACATCCATCCATACTCACAAACTTTCGCGTTTATAATATTAATAAGATATAATCTATCTGTTGCAGGGAGCCTACAGGACCGGATGGAACTCCAGGATCAGGTGATGGAGATATCACAACTCCTAATCCAGATGAACCAGATTCTAGTAATATTGTTGCACTAAGTCTAGTTATTAAAATATACCTATGTATTCATACATTATGGACCCTATTATAGTTTAATAATGCATAATAAAGTACTAGTATCCTAGGAATCGTTGAATAAAATTCCATCAAGAGAATTTTGGATACGGTGTAAAAGTGACACTACTATTGCGTTTCCAAAACAGTTTTAAGTTTTATATTGACTGCTAATAATTATTTAGGTTATTAATTAAAAGTTTATTAAAAGCTATAAATACTATCCTTGTTTAATTCCTATTTTTATAATAACCCAGAACACTTAATATAGCGCTATCTAATTACAAACTAGCTGAACTATGAACATTAAACAACTGATAGAATTACTTAAAATTTTTTTTTGTAAGTATAATATAACATACACAAACATAGGAAACCACCAAACCAACACCACACCAACATACTCATTATTAAAAATGAATGTACGTTGGCAAAGAAACGTACTCGCGATCAAGGGAAATAATAAATAAATTGCTAGATATATATATCATACATATATTATAAAATTGTTTGTCCTGATTAATTTATCAATGCACAATCAAAACTATTGTGTCATAAATGATGAAATATAATAATGAACATAGCCTTATTTCTTACGCAAAAATTCGCGAAGAAAGAATATAATGAGAAAATAAATAAACTTGATGCATATGTCAAACACCTATTCCCATAGGTTTACCCGCTCAGCAATATAGTGAAAAGTTTAGAGAAGAAAGTAATAGAGTAGAAAGAGAAATATAGTAATGAAAACCCTATACCACATTTTTAAGGACAGCTTATTTAATATATATATAACGAAGAAGAAATTTCATTTAAACGATTAATGCATGAAGAAGTCTGTCGAAAAAATTTCCAAGTATTTCTAGATATAATAATAATATAACTTTTTGACAGGCGGGATCATCCGCCTACATGTTCCTGTAAAGTTTTATGAGGAGCGAACAGAGGCTGAAAATTTACGACAAAATAAGATAGAAATACAAGGTTAGACAGAGAAAGAATAATATTGTATGGATCGAGTTTCATCCAATTTGTGATTGGAAATGAAAATAATGATCGTGAATCATCTTTTGTTGTTTTTAATTGTTCTTAATTTAGTTCGATGCCTATAATAATATTATGTTATCTGTGCTATAATACAGGAAGCTGGTACATAACAATTGCTAATTATAATAAAAAAAAACATTAATATTGAGATTACTTACAGTACACCTACTTTCAAAGTCATCTATATAACGGTCTCGGTGGTCTTGGACACCGCTTTACTTCCGATGGTCGCGGGTTCGATTCCTCCCATGGGGTAAACATTTATTGTACGCATGAATATGATTGTTTGTACAGGTCTGGGTGTTTTGTATGTATATTATGTATATATTTATATCAGTTGTCAGTACTCATAACACGAGCTCTGCTTAATTTAGCACTAGATGGCACTGTGTAATTTCTCCAGGGTTATTATATTATTATAATTATAGATAAAGATTTCATAATAAGTGTAAAAATTCATATTCAAAGAGTGGTGATAAATAATTACCCTAGTTCAACTGTTTTGATATTTAATTTGTGAGCCTTTACTAGGAAGGTTCAATATTGAATAAAAAAAAATACGATAGTACATATAACCTTAACCAGATGTAACAAATTGCAATAAGTAAATGTATTATTTAGTAATAATGATTCATTATCGGAGTTTTGTTTTAATATTATTATTGCAAGATAACATAAAAATATTGATAAATAGACTTCATAAATATAATAATTACGAATGTCATCTGTCTGTAATCCACTGTATGTTTACCTGGAACAAAACAAAATTATTATCAGTTATTACAAACCTAAATTAATAATATTATATTGTTTTTAATCTAAATATTCTCTATAATTAATAATATTAATCCAAATTTAAACACTTTGTTGGTTTTCAATTACTGCATGTTATTAGCATAATAAGCATTGCACGTTTAAAATTCAATACAATATATTAATTAGTTCATTACGGTTGAAAGATTAACTGAATTAAAAACAAGCGCTAAAGTAGTTAATACTGAGAGCGTCGAGGTTTAGTTGTTTACTGTTCCGACTTTAAACATAAAGGGATTGAAATCTGATCAAGATCAAAAAAGTTTTTTGTGTCAACTTATATTTCAATATATCAATTAACAAAATGTTCTCTAGAAGCTATTTGCTAGAGCTTGAATATCTGTAGCAGTTTAATTCTTTCATAGTGTTTTGCACAACAAAGAGTAAATAAAAAAAGACTTTCTAACTAGCTCTGTTACCCTGTAATAATAGAATATAATAAATTATTTCTAACTGTCAAAGAATTTCTCAAATCGTAGCAGTGCTTCCAGTCTGCACTTTCCGCAGAATAAAATCTGTCCTCCCTTAATTATGTTCGTGTAGATGTATTAATAATAATCTCAGGACAATTCAGACAGAGCTATCTAGACCCAAGTAGTTAGAGCTTGTGTTATGGATACTAGACAACTGATATAAATACAGATAGAGATATATATATATATTTTTTTTTTTGTAAATATATAGGTACATATTAGAGAAACTACCATAACGGATGCGAGGAATCGAATCCGCGATCATCGGAAGTAAGGCAGTGTGCTAAACCGTTAGACCACCGTTGCCGTCAAAATATATAAATGCGACGTTAAAAAAACTTTACAGTTTAATCTCCAAACTTTGTATTTTTTTTAATGCTCTTTGCTGTCGAAGTTGTCAAATATATTATTAAATTAATAATATTATTTCAAATCATTAATTTAAAAAAAATGGCAATAGAAATAGTGACATGTCAATTAAGAGAACTCATGTTAAGTAAAGTGCTTTGCTCCCAATAAAGCAATTCAGGACAATGTCACGCTCGGCTGAACGTCATCCAACGGAGATAGAACATCTCTGTGGATGAGTGGCAAACCGCATTTATGATTGCATTCGAGCAAGCTAGATTTATATGACTAGAATATTATGAAAGAATTTTGTATAAAAACTGTTTTGAACAACACATACATGGTTTATTATATTTTCTAAATAACTAACTGACTTCACAAATTAATAAGCAAAAAATATTATATTTAACAATTTAATCTTATTAATATTATAAACACGAAGGTTTGTGAGTATATTTGTTACTCTTTCACACAAAAACTACTGAGCGGATTTTGATAAAACTTTACAGTAATATAGCTTATACATCAGATTAACATATCTATACTAATATTCTAAAACTGAAGAGTTTGTTTGTTTGAACGCGCTAATCTCAGGAACAACTGGTTCAAATTGAGAAATACTTTTGTGTTGGATAGTCCATTTGTCGAGGAAGGCTTTAAGCTATATATCATTATGCTACAACAAATAGAAGCACAGCATCAGTGAAAAATGTTGTAAAGACGGGGAAAATTATTCGTATTTGAGGACTTCCGTTGCGTGCGTTGCGCGAAGTCACGGGCACAGCTAGTATAGAATATATGTAGTAGTATCAGCCACTATGTAGGCTGATACATATATACATATATATATATACTGTAGAATACTGCTAATAATTTGATTTTATTTAATAATAATAATAAATAATTATTGTTATCAATTCGCACTAATGTTTGTATTGTGTGCGGTTTGAAGTAGCGACCTTCGTAAATTGTTAACCTTCGGTGTGCCAAAAAATTCTTCTTCTTCTTTAGGTGCCATCTCCTATCGGAGGTTGGCGATCATTATGGCGATCTTTACTTTGTCCGCGGCGGTCCTGAAAAGGGACCTGGTGCTCATCCCAAACCACTGCCTGAGGTTTTTTAACCAGGAAGTGCGGCGTCTGCCTGGTCTTCGGCAACCCTGGATTTTTCCTTGTATTATTAATTGCAGAAGACTGTATTTTTCATTCCGCATTATGTGACCCAGGTATAGCAGTTTACGGCGTTTGATGGTGTTTAGTACTTCTGTCTTTTTTTGTACTCTTTGGAGAACAGTCTCGTTTCGCACTCTATCCCTCCACGATATCTTTAACATTCTCCTGTAAGCCCACATTTCGAAAGTTTGTATTCTCTTACACATCGTTTGTGTAAGAGTCCACGCTTCAACGCCATACAGGAGAACAGAAAAGACATAACAGCGCAGTAATCTAACTCTAGTCGCTATTTTTAGAGATCGATTGCAAAGTAGACTGCTCAATTTCATGAATGCATTTCGCGCTTGTTCGATACGGCATTTGATTTCCGTACTATGGTCTCCCTGTTCGTCCACAATACATCCGAGATATTTATAAGACTTTACCCTCTCCAGTGGACTATCTTTCAATAATATGACATTGTTTAAAGTCTGAGTTGCACGACTTACAACCATAAATTTAGTCTTTTTGATGTTAATATTAATACCATGTGCTGTGCTCACATTTTGAACGCGGTCCATCAGGCTTTGCAGATCATCCCGAGTAGCAGCCAACATTATGGTATCGTCAGCATACCTAATATTATTGAGAGGTTTACCATTGATAACAATGCCTTCTTTCGCGTCTTCCAAAGCTTCTGAAAAAATATTTTCCGCATAGATATTAAATAACAGCGGTGAGAGTATGCAGCCCTGTCGGACACCACGAAGAATATCTATATCTGCAGAGATTTCTTGGTCTACTTTTATATTTGCCTTTTGTTTCCAATACAGATTGCGAATGATTTTAATGTCATTCGCATCTAGACCAATCTTTTCCAAAATTTGGATAAGTTTAAAATGTTGGACACAGTCAAATGCTTTCTCATAGTCGATAAAACAGGCGTAAACAGGTTGATTCATATCCCAACATCGTTGCATCAGGACGTGATAACCAAAAAGTGCATCACGGGTTCCAAATCCTCCCCGGAAACCAAACTGTGTAGCTGAGATATTCTCTTCTATTCTCCTATAGATTCTTGCGTGTATTATTTTTAGAAAAATCTTTAAGACGTGGCTCATTAGAGAAATTGTTCGGTAATCACTACATTGTTTGGCGTTAGTTGTCTTTGGTAGCGTGATGAAGGTAGATTTCAACCAGTCATCTGGTATATCACCTGTCTCATAAATGCTATTGAAAAGTTGCAATAATATGTCCAAATTATCATATTCAATATGCTTCAGAATATCGCAACTGATGTCGTCAGGTCCCACGGCTTTACCAGATTTTATATTACGTAACGCACGAACTATCTCATCCTTCGTAATATTTGGACCTATGTTGTTAACTGCTTCCAGGGAGATACTAGGTCTATCAACATCATCGAAGAGTTTTTTAATATATTCTGTCCATACAGCAAGCTTATCTTTTGTGGACAAAAGTGAGTTCCCCGTGTCGTCAACAAGCTTGAGGACCTTTGTACATTTCTTGTGTCCCAAGACTTCTTTAATCTTTTTAAACATATTGAAATGGTCATGTTTTGTTTGTAGATGTTCAATTTCCTCGCATTTATCGTTCATCCACTTTTCCTTAGCTTCAATACATTTCCTCCCTATTTCTCTGTGCAAAACTTTATATTTCCGAACATCCACACATTTTGCCAGTCGTCTTTGTGTCATCAGATTATATATTTCGTCTGTGATCCATTCTTTCTTCTTCACAGGACTATCTGACGAAAGTATCTCCTTAGAAGTATGAAGTAGGACTTGCTTAAAGTTTAGCCAAATTCTGCACGGTTCTGCTATCAGTTCCGCTTCTTTTTGTTGTAATTCTCGTACTTTGTTGTTTAGCGATATATGAAATTCACTTCTAACATCTTTATTTTTAAGTTTTGTAACGTCAATAACAGTTCTTTTATTACGACGTAGTAATTTCTTTAATCTAATAGACATATCCGCTACGAGAGGGTTATGGTCTGAGCCGACATCAGCTCCAGGGTAAGTCTTAACTGATTTGATGCTATTTCATCGTTTACTTATCAAAATATAATCTATCTGATTTCTTCTTATGTTTGTCAATGAGTCAGCAGGTGATTTTATATAGACGACGTGGAGGTAATTTATAGTGTGTGTTTGTGACTACTAGTTGTTGGACTTGGCAGAACTCTATTAAACGATCGCCGCGATCATTACGAGTCCCCAAACCGTAATTACCTATTATGTCTGGGACTTTTCCTTCGCCCACTTTGGCGTTAAAGTCGCCCATGATTATGTTCAATTCAGAATGTTTATGGTTTTGCTAATGTCTTCGTAAAAAATTTCAATCTCTTCGTATATGATCAGTTGTTGGAGCATATATTGGATTATGTTATATATATTATATAATGGCAAGAAATTTTATGAAATTGCTTCTTTATCATAATTGCTGTACCGTGACGGTGGTTTCTATCATCTTTACCACTGTAGTATAAAACTGTATCGCCTAGATCTTCTATATTACTTCCTTTAAGTCTTGTTTCACTTATACCCAGGATGTCAATGTCCAGTCTTTTCATCTCTTGTTCCACATTCCTCATCTTGTCTAGTTTAAACATGCTTCGCACATTCCAAGTAGCAATTTTTAAATTATTGCACCCGGGGATTCTTCGCACCCTCTGACCACTTAAGGTCTGCCGGGGACTGAGGGCCATTTTATTTCTGTTTAGTGCCATAATGATTTTTCCTGGGAAATTATATTTGCCTTCCACATCGCTGTTTATCTTAGCAGTAATTTTGACACATAGCTGAGCTGGTCGCTGCGACCTAAGTACGTGCAGCTGCCCACGTATAGTGCTTATTTAATGGCGGCACTAACACGCCATGCCACAATAGTTGTCGCTGGGTCCTTGTAGTATTTTATAGAGTACTCCGTCCCGAGAAGTATCCACTACATCCTCAAACATTGCCAAAATACTATACCGATGATTATACCATCCAATCCCTCTCTTGATCCAACGGGAATCGTAATTATGACGGTCTGAGTCGATGTTTGAACCGCTATCAGTGCCCTCAGACTCGTAGAAGTCGTATACGTCAGACTGGGAGTTAACTTTGAGCCGCTCCATAAGTCCTTTCGCAGGTTCAGAGTGTCGTCTACTCTCACTTTCTTTTTTAAAGACGAATTTAACATCATTAGATTAGTTCTAAAAATCCGGTTAGTTTTCTATCTTTCAGATTCTGTTGAAGTATAATTTCACTCCATTTGCACTTGATTTCAGCACTCCTATGTACTGAAATCAAGTGCAAATGTTTTTATTTATCTTATGTTCGACATTTTAATTAGTGGTATTGAAATCATAAATAAAATAACTGCTTATTGGATTTTGCATTGAAATGAAAACAAAAAACAAAACTGAATGTTTATATAAATTATATTATCAGTCATAAAAGGATTTGTAGTGGTGCTAGGTAACCTTTGTTAATACATTAAATACACGATAACGTGTAATTATATATAGTAGGATTTATAATTAAGGAGATCATTTGTTAAAAGATACTTTACGATGTGGTCAGGACTTTATATGTTAATTGGTTTAGTGGTGTGTAGCACAGCCTTACCCGAGGAAAGGAATAGGGAACCCGTTTTCACTATAGATCAAATAGTAAGTACTTATTGTCATTTTATTTTATTATATATATTATATAATATTTTATATTAAATTATTATGGGCCTTTGCGAGAGCGTCGTGGTTTACTATGTCGACTTGCGCCCCATATGTCGTTAGTTCGAATCTGTCCGACATAAATTTTTGTGTGTCAATTTATATTTCTAAATCTCTTTTCTTTTCTGTTAAGTAAATGCCGATAATTAGCTAAACTTTTTGTTTGTGAGGAGTATACTCCCAAGGTCCCATTGTCACTAAGTAAGGATTCCAGGGTAATTAAGGGAAATCCTCGAATATAATAGCAAGTATTGTGAGTTTGGGGTTTCTAGTTAAGTTCCTCAGATCGGTTTGCGTCTGGGAATTATATATTAATTGTTAACTACGGTACGGACGGCAGGGATTTAAATTTGGACAAGTCGGTTTTTTTCGTTACTAGAACACGAGTAATATTTTTTACTAATAATAATAGTCCCCCTTCCCCTATATGAAATTTATCATCAATAATGGAATAGCAAACAGTCTATATCACAATAGCTATTTTCATCAGTAATTGTGGATCGGACTTGCACACAGAGAGTTCGCAATAAATAATGTAAATATAAATACATCCCTACAGAATAACTAATTGTTTGTGGACAGTTAGTAGCATTAATTCATTCCTCTGTGATCTTGAATTCCTCTGTGTGAACTATATGTAGTCCTCTATGTAGTATATAGCCCACATAGAGAAATTGAAAACCAATACTATTTTAGTATTTGACCGCGGCAGCTTGTTATAAAGTCATTTGTTTGGCTATCCTCTATAACATCTTTGCTGCCATCAAGCAGCTTGCGTGCTTATGATATAAATAAATCTGTAGTACTGTTGAATGACGGTTGCAATTTACTGTCAAGTGAACCGTCACCTTGTTTGACAATCGTATTATATAAAAAAATTACTACTCCATGTTTTATATCAGGGATGAGCAACACAACGTGTCAGTGTGAGCCGCCATTTCTAAAATTTTATATTTATTTAGGCATTCCCATTCATAAAAATTTTTAGAAAATTAATTATAATAAAAAGGTAGTCTTATCATACTAAACCAAAACATTATTTACAGACGAGTTATTAACTTGTCGGCTACTTGTTCACATATGTTCGCCGCGCCTGCAATTTAATTAATTAATTTGGGAATAAAATTTGTATTTATGTTTACTTTTTAAATTCTAATGTTTGTTATAAATTAAGTATTGTAACTTATTAATAATATTAATAATAACACTTGTTAAAAAATTACAAAACTTAATTTATATGCCGCCCGACAAAAAAAAATATAATTAAAATTGGCTCGTTGATTAAAATGTATGCTCACCTCAAGTTTTATACAATTTCAGCCAGATTGGATCAATCATGTTGGTTATGTAGCGGAAACCCACCACGTGATTACTCATGATGGGTACATACTGGAGATGCACAGGATACCGTACGCGCAGTATCAGACTACATCCACTGCTAAAAGACCAGTGGCCTTCTTGATGCATGGACTGTTGGCAGCATCCAACTCGTACATAGCCCTTGGTCCACAATATAGTATAGGTGAGTTCTATAACCGCAATTAAATATTATTGAATATGGTCGCCCAATGTTCGAAATTTGAATATAATTAATTTAAATTATGGTTCTGTTTCACATACAGTAAGACTAGGCAAATAATATTAAAACTATTTTAATCTTTTCTCAATTTAACATATGCCTGTGTGTGTCAAATAAGTGGTAGGTAGTGGTAATATTTTTTTATTGCTTTAATGTATTCTGCACTCCGCGCAATTTTCGTAAAAAGGGTAAAAAGATTCTGCAGAAAATAAAACTTGTGTTTTAAAAAAAATTAAACATACTAGTTGGCCCGGCAAACATTGTTTTGTCATATAAATAAATATCGCTATTAAAAAATTGGGGTTATGGCTTAAATTTAGGATAAAAAATACATTCACACGTATTTTATAATGCAATAAATGAAAAAAATTAAGAAATAATATAACCAATTCATATATACAAAATCTTCCCAAATCGGTCGAGTTTTTTTTGTAAAAATGGAATAGCAAACAGACAGTCCACTTAATCGTAAATGGTAGCCGTTGACTATATACACGAAGAGCACTACGGATATCACTTCAATGTGTTACTCGTGCGGTAATTACTAAGACGTCATGCATTTTATTCTACAATTTCACGTACCTATGTAAGCCAATAAAAAAATATATCATAATTAGTAAAAAAAAAAATACAATATAGAATAATCTTTAAAATATTATAAAAATTGGACTACCGTAGCAGTGGCCACAAGGTTAAGACGGCTTTGCCACTTTATATCAAATCTGATACCAAGTCTTAGCTCTTTAATCGCCAGATTAGACCAGGTGCTTGAAACTGTACAGTTGTCGGCATTCTATGACGTACGGTCTAGATTCGTATTGGCATGTCATTTCTATGTAACTATCATATCTTGGAAATGGATTTTTAATTTATCAGGTCTTTCCTAGGGAATTAATTGTGATTAAGACTAATTGGCATATTTATAACTTAACAAATTGCTCATTGATTATTCATTAAGTACTAGATAACGCATATTAATTATTAATACAAAATATCTGTTCTACAGCTTACAATTTGGCGGACGCCGGTTTTGACGTATGGCTTGGAAATGCCCGTGGTAACAGATTATCACGTCATCATGTGGCACTTGACCCTAATCATCCTCAGGATAAGCTTAAATTTTTTGACTTTAGTTTTGAGGAAATTGGCATGTATGACGTTGCTCAGATGATTGACTATGTTTTGGAGTATACTGACGAAGAGAAGCTTCATTATGTGGGCCACTCGCAGGGAGGTACAGTGTTTCTTGTGATGGCCTCCATGTTGCCGGAATATAATCAGAAATTTACTTCCGTGCAACTTCTGGCCGGCGTCGGATATCAAGACTACTTCCCAAATATCCCAATGCGAGCTGCGGCAAGATTTACTAATGTCATACATGTAAGTAAATTTTATTGTTTGCTGTAATATTACAATTTACTACTAATTTACAATTTACGTAGAGCTTCGCCTTCACAAGGATGTAATTATTGCATCTTTAAATTTTAAAATAAAATATAGCTCTTATCTATAACAAATAAAAATAAAATCAACAGTTTAGATATAATAATGTATGTATATTTTAAACCTACTGAATTTTATTGAAAAGTATATAGTTATAAATTGGTTTTGCAAACCAAATTATTTTATTCTATGTTCATGATTTTTTAGTAATGAAACAAATATAATAAGGTCTCTTTAACTGTAAAACGAAAAATATAGGAATATTTATAAGGTATCGTCTATGAATATTATTCAGAACCTATCTTTATAATAATATTTCTTATTATTCCAAACAATAATTTTATTACTCAATAAATGTAAAAAGTATCGGAGAAAAGACGAACAATTTCGTTTGAGTGAGTTATCTTAATTGTTATTCCTCGAGTGATATAACTTCATTTGTTAATTATATGCCACTCTGAATTATGTAGAATAAAAAAATAATTAAATAAATTAATTCCAGGCTGCAGCACTCACTTTTGGTATTGTAGAATTATCAACGTCTATGTTCAATAGAACAGTCTCTTCATCAACCGAAACAGTACCTGCTGACTGTGCTGGTGATGATATTGATGAGGAGTTTTTATGTGAACTTATGGCCATTAATGGATATTTGGTGAGTTTTATCTCTTACTAGTTATATGATAATATGACTCGATAGTCTAGTGGTTTAGTACACGGAGCTACATCTGATGGTTATGGATTTGATTCCTCGCACGGTAGGTACATACATTTGTATTCATGACTATGATTATTTGTATCGGTCTGGGTGATTTTTATTCTGGGCCTGGGACTAGACAACTGATAAATAAACTTTTTTGTTAATACATACAACTAAGCCAATACAACCAATCATATTTATGAAAGCGTATGTCATAGAATGCCGACAACTGCACAGTTTTAAACAACTGGACTAATCTGAACTAAGACGTGGACATCAGTCTCAGATTTGATATAAAGTTTCAAATTGTTTGCGAGGAATCGAACCCGCGACCAACGGAAGCACAGCGGTGTGCAAAACCGCTAAACCACAGAGGCCGTCAAATTCAAGTCACGTAATATTTATAATTATTTATTTATTTTTTATAGATTGATCTTACCCCTATAAGAATATTGTACTATATGTTTGGTGGAGCTGCCTTGAAACAAATAGCTCACTATGGTCAAAACGTGAGAGACAAATCATTCAGACGTTGGAATTACGGTACAAAAGGAAACATTGAAGTCTATGGATCTATTACACCACCTATATACAATCTAAGTCTGATAACGGCAAATGTAACAATGCATTACACGATCAACGATAATTTACTTGACGAAAGAGACGTCTTAGCTATGGCAAAAGACATGCCTAATACAAGAGTCAGAAAAATACCCAGAGACACTTTCTTACATGTAGATTTCGTGTTTGCTCGAGATGTTAAAGAACAATTAACTGATTACATGATTGAATCGATGCTGTATTTGGAAAATGCGTAAGTTTTTCTTTAACTGTATACTAGTATTAATATTTTGACTGCCCACTTGATGGCAAGTGATAATATACATGAACTGTACTATCTATATATAAACTATAGATATCACGTTAAAATCATTTTCACATCATGTGACATGTGTCATGCTTCTTGTCCTGTAATGTCCTTGCCTAATTTGCACCTTAACACCAAAACACAGCATAATGTGCTTGGCGACTGTAATAGATGAGATTGAGGTATCCACGCAATCAAATTTTTACTAAAAACCAAATTTCATTCGAGCCCATCCAACCGTTAAGAACAAGTAGTTATCATGCAAAATTTTATACTTAATATGTTAACAATAACCACATAAAATAATTACAAAATTAATTCCAGAAACGAGCCAGGAACAGATCCTGGACCAGGAGAAATAAATAATTCAAGCGAAACTGATGCAAGTAGTGTAGTAACGTTGAGTCTAATTTTCAAAATATATCTATCTATTTACACACTATGGGTACTATTATAACGATGGACGATATAAAAAATTACTCGGAGATTCAACAATATTTTATATATGATAATTGCTTAATTAACATTAATCTAAACGATAATTCTGGTATTATAAATATATAATTTTGTAAATAATGTAAATAGTTATTCCTTGTAAATATTACTATTTTATACTAACTATGGCTAAATTATAATAGATTTATGATAGATAATAAAAAATATAATATTTTATCGTATTCTTTTATTTAAACATGCGCGACTTCTTGCCATATCATCATCATCATTGCCTTACCTTTTTCTCATAAATTTATTTTATATAATTTTTATTAATTATTTATATTATATACCTTTAATACACGTAATAAAAGAAGCAAAAGTACATATACGAAATGAACATATATGAAATAGGCGTTTTTTAATGGTTAATAATGGAATGGTGTGCCTGTCTGCGCTTACTATTTATGCTGGCGGGGCACCAGTGGAAGATAATAAAATGAGCATGAAGTCAGCTCAGTTGCTCCATCTTGGCAATTGTCAATTTACCAGGATGGTTTCTAGGGAGAACCGTGTGAAGTTCAACCTGACATGCTACATTGCTAACAATGGTGTTATTACTCCATATCACTAACAATTCCCTTCCCTCCAACGAGATAGGTTATTGGTAGTTACTATAATAATATATACTGTTTACTTATAGATACATATATATAACTTAACTAGGCGGCACTGTGTGAATTATTCTAGATTATTATTATTATAAAGTTAAAATAACCAAATAAGCGAAAAATTCATGACTTTTATGTTTTATTTTAGTATAGGTCGTGAAGGAGTACATGAGTATATAACGAGTGTCGTGGGGAATTCGTGAAGTGCCATCATAAACGAAAGTGAGACATCCTGAACGGCAACAATAACAGTAAACAGAAAAGCGTAAACAAGATAGTAAAATAGGCAGTCATCTTTCACCTCACAAATAGATCTTTATTAACGTTAAATAGATCAGTAATTCCGATGGAGGATTCTTTTTCTCCTATGAATTGGGAGAATTTATTTCGAATGGAATTGTTAGTAATGTGGATTAATGAACGCATTACTAACAACGTACCATATCAGGTTGATCTCCAAGCGGAGCACCTTGGAAACATCGTGATTAGTTCCTGATGAACTTGTCGCGATTTTCTCATTGGCCTGAACTCATACTCATCTTATCATCTTCCACTCCCTTCCCTGATAGTGTAGACCGATATCGCAAGGTGCAACTTTCTATTAACATCAATTAAAAAAAAAACACGAGCGTTGTAATGTTAATTTAAAATAGTATTCACAAATAAAATGTTTCTAAAATGATCATTCTGTAAATTTCTTATTCATAGTAATGCTGAAACATGTCATAAATCTTTATCTATAGAATTATTATGTCCGAGGTACACGTTGTTGCGTACACGAGGTTTGCGTTGCTCCAAGCAGTTTGCTTTGTCCTGAATGGCAATGCAAGTGAAATCGAGATAAAAGGTATGACATCTTAGCCGTCCTGAATGGCAATGCGCGAGTAGTATCTTAGATGTCACTTGGTAACGTGATGACCTTAGTCCCTATTCATGTATATAGGCAACGGTTACCACTTACCATCAAGTCATCAGCTCGTTATGCTATTCCAATTATATGCAAACGACCAAATTCAGAATCTAAATTCAGACAAGAAACTCCTGAGATTCTTTGATAAACTAATGGTGTACAAAATAAGATTTAATAAACTTACTATTAGAAGATAGGAGGTAGTTACTATTAGACGCAAAGATTGTATGTATGTGGAGTGCAAGCACGACTTCAACCCTACAGATCGTCCCAATTGGTCGGATAACCAATCGTACCGTCTGTATAGACTTAAACACGTCACAGCACCAACCGAAATCAATATTCAGAATTTGACAAATGGAATTTGAAAATGAAGGTTGCGTCATCCGTGAGCGGTCCGCAATCATTAATTTGGCTTGACAGGGGTCCATTAATGTGTGCCCAGTGATTTATTCGCGTGTCCAAAGAACCCTTGCTTTTGATGGTTATACCGTTTGTGGCGGTATGCTTCAATGCCTGGGTTGTGGCAGGTCCAAATATATATATACATTGATAAAATTATTCTTTGATATTTTATTTTTATAAATTCACTAGCTGTCCCGGCACAAGCTTTTTGTTTATTTAAATAGTAATATCGCTATTAAAAAATAGGTGTTGGTAGTAGAAGGGTGGAAATTTAGATTTGTATGTAATGTTAATGCAATGCCTAATCATAATAAAAAAAATTAAATTAAAAAAAAAATTATAAGTGGGTCACCCTTATCATTGAGGGGTATGAAAAAGAGATGTCGTCCGATTCTCAAATCTACCGGATATGCACACAATACTTCATAAAAATCGAACAGACATAGGAAACACCATTTCGGACGAATTTAGTAACAAACACCGCGGTACGAGAATTTTATATATTAGGTATAAAAAAATAGAAGAGGATCTTTTATGATCAGGAATGTATCACGAAAATATTGTTTATAATATCAAGAAGCATTAAAAAAAATATTACTAAATATAGAAAGTAATAAAGAATTTTCTTTACATTTGAAAAAGGTTATATCATTTTGCATGTATACGAATGGATTTCAGTTTGAAACATAGCATATTTTCCGTTGCCGCCCTGTCTCACAGGACAGCATTGTATTCTATTCATGGCTCCTCACAGCCATATATCTTTTTCGCGGCACCAAAGCAACTTCGTTCAAATGGAAATTCTGTAACAACACTGTTCGCAGCCCGCGACTCTTGAGGTGTTAACAAAAAAGATCATTTTGTCGTATAACAAAGACACAAGTAAAATTGTGAGTGAACAATACGAAATCTTTTACAAAGAACAGATCCTACGAAATGTTCGCGAAAAAGCTGACAAGGGTATGTTGGGCACGCATTACCACAGTTCCGTATGATGGTGTTTTAAATTTTACTTGTGTACTTATTACATATCGAAGTTAATTTAAGTGAGCAATACCTGACCATAGTTTTGATAATTTAAAGACTGTGTTGACGGCCTCGGTGATCTGGGTTTAGTACATCGTCTTATTTCCGATGGTCGCGGGTTCGATTCCTCGCACGGTATGAACATTTGTATTTAGGACTATGGTCTGGATATTTTCTATGTATATTGTGTATGTATTAACAAAAAAAATATCTTTCTATAACACAAGTTCTGCTTAGCTTGGAACTAGATGGCGCTGTGTAATTTGTCCAGGGTTATTATTATTATTATTTGTTTATATAGAGAGGTACAAGAAATAGACTGTACAAACTTATAAGATTGTGAACATTGTCGCCGCCCATTTCATCCAGCTGTACAGCAGCTTTGTTAGTTGTTTTTGGTGGAGGGTGACCATATGTCACATGTGCACTGAAATTTCCGTGAAAAAAGAAAATTTTCATTTATTTTCTGTCTAGTTTCAGTCAGTCTAGTGCAAAAGAAAGTATATTTAACCGTACGTTATATAGAAACGTCCGTAAAAAAGGTGTCAATGTTACTTTATGTAATACGTAATGGTTCATTTTGTAAAGTGTAATCGTAAAGTATTTCGACACATGCGTCTGCATGTGTTATCAATATATAACCACTTACATACATTTTGTATGAGTAGCCTTTAGTACGCAGCGCATTGGTCTGCGGAATTCCGCAAACCGCAACCTAAAAGTTTGAGTACTATCATGTATGTATAGGTAGACAGATATAAGAAAATTATAACGGGTTCGTTTCGTAATTTTGTTACTGAACCCAAAAACAAGAGAATAATGATCGGCCGTGATTTTTCTGTTTGAAGTTCCATTATCGATAAATCAGATCACTTTCTTATGATTCAGTTTTTATCAAAGCATACGACTTACGTGTATATTATGTAACATTATTATCCTAGATATGTAATGCGCACAATATATTGTTATTCTTGAGGGAATACTCATATAGACAATTTTTATTAATAAATATGGAATGGTGCACGCACTTGCTCGATACATTAAGGCTGGTGAAGCACCAGTGGATGATGACAGAACGAAGATGCAGGAAGGTCAGTTATCAGGAATCAACCACGATGGTTTCCAGGGGAGAAAGCCAGTGGAAATATAAGTTGACACAGTTTTTTGTTTCAATTAGACTTGGAATCAGAACTCTTCGGACTAAGTAGAAGTAACAAAATACTATATCACGACGATCTTTTAAGACTTATAACTAATAATTTCTAAGTTAGTCTTAAATAGATAATTTATTGTTATTATGTATCTCAATCTCAAGTATTTTAAATTTCAGCCGTAAAGCAAGTTGCCTTCTAAGTTATTGTTTAACAGGTGTGATAAAGTAGTGAAATTATAGGATAAAAAGTATGACCTTCTCTAAACTTCGTCTAGGCTTTGCTTATTTGAACCAAACTAATGCAAAGAAAATTCAATTACATAAAAAACCTGATTAAATTAATTACAGTTCACTCTTATCTGTATCTAGAAAAATAACAAACTTTTCCTAAACTTAATACCTGGATTAATATAATCTAATCAAATAATAGGTACTTATAGTTGTAAAAATTGATACTAAATTGTGTACAATAACATAAACATAGACGATTTCAGAAATCACCAAATCATTTTCTTGGATTTTTGTAAATTTTGTCAAATTGAGAAATCGTAGGGTTGGTCGTAGATAATTATAATTACACAGATCAGATATATAAAAAACGTTCTAAAAATTTAAGTACTACAGATTTAAGTATTTATTTTTCATTCAATAATTAATACAATATAAACTTACAGCGAATCGCCTACACGTTTATATTTTTAAACTAATATACTTAACTATTATAATGATACTACCTTTTGGAAATGCATAATCTTAATAATCTAAATAAATACATAGAATATGGTTTACTTGCATTAGCTATACCTCTTTGCAATTATCAAATGAAATGTATATCACATTTTATTAGTAAAATAAAA